TTAACAACACCAATCTAAACGTCGTCAAATTAGCGGCCTTCGTTATCGTTAGCGACAACAGCTGAATTGGCGCTAACGAATATTGTTAGGGAAACGTTTACTGAGGAGCTAAATTGTTAAAATTGTCGTTTAGCTGACTTAACAATAACAAGAGTTGTTAAAATCGCGTAGTGAATCGCACCACTGGGGTCGAATCGTAACATACGATATCGTATTACTCGTCACGTAAAAATACATTTTTCGGATTGTGACATACGTGAACGTACTCTTTATATCGTAATTTGGTATGATGACACACGTGAACGAGTGACGAGCGTACTCGTTCGTTTGAAATGTCATTCGATCACAAACTATCTATCCAGTGGGAACGAATTTAATCAAAATGTAAGTAAATTAAAATTTTTTTTGCAAAAATACTGTATATTTAGCCACTTCCTTTATCTTAGGATGAATTTCAACAAACTTAATCCTCGGCAAAAAGATATAATGGCAGAATTTATGGCAGAGCACCCAAATTTGGCCAAAAATACTCTTCCTAATTCTGCGCAAGGCAGGGCGACCACAAATCGATTATGGGAGGAGCTAACCAAACGTTTAAATTCTGTAGGACCACCGGTAAAGGATGCTAAGATGTGGAGGAAAGTAAGTATATCTGTAGTTTCATAGAATTTCCATAGGAGTTAATGATATGTGGCGTCTTGCAGGCTTTTGCTGATCAGAAATATCAAGCAAAGAAGAAGCTTTCCTTTAATAAGGCATCCAAGCAGCAAACTGGTGGAGGACCTTACAGTGAGAAGGTTATCACTGCTTCTGATGAACTTATTATTGAAGCTGCCGGACAAGAGGTTTGTGTAGAGGGGAACAAGTCCGTGCGACCATTTGGGAGTACATCAACTACACAAACATCTAAAAATGTCAATGGAAATAGTGTCAGTGATTCCAGTGGCGAAGAGTCAAGCTCCTCCCATAGCTCTGTACCAGGTCCATCATCAGCAGCTTTGTCAGCCTGTCAAAATGTTACACCACGGAGCAAACCTCCAAGAAAGAAGAGTTCAAAAGATTAAAAGTTGGCATTTCTCCAACAAAATGTTAACTCTGTGTCCGAATTCCAACGTAAATTAGACAGATTGCACGAGATACAGGCTGCTGTTGATGTACGAGCGATCATTGGCGATAAAAGAAAAAGAGCACCGAATCCAACAGTCACCGAGGGAAATAGATTTAAAAATAAAGAAGTTAGAGCTAGAAAATTTATCGGATAATTCAAGAGAAAAAATAAAATAAAAAAACTTTTTAATATACAACGCTTTTATAAATGGACTAAAAAGTAGAAAATAATATTTCTCAGTCCCACAGAATTTGTTTTGATAACTTTTGATTTTGAAATTTTAGCAAAAGTCATTATAAACAATTAATTACGTTGAAAACGAAAAACGTGGGGCACATGCAGTACAAAGCATTCGATTTCATTGACAATAGTCAAACAACATACATAACATAGACCTAAAATTACTACAGCGAAAGTAAATATTGGAAATCGATTTTAAGCGGTCGTTATTAATATACCCACATACATACATATATTACTCTTCAATTTCAAATCAGGCCAATTACATGCGCCCCACGCTTTTCATTTTCAATCGCATAAATTGTTTATTATGACTTTTACTAAAATTTCAAAATCGAAAGTTATCAAAACCAGTTCTATGAGACTGAGAAATATTATTTTCAAATTTTAGTCCATTTATAAAAGCATGGTACATTCAAAAGTTTTTTTTTAATTTATTTTATACTTTTTAGACTTGTCTCTATAAAATTTTGCAATAGATACTTAAATAATTCAACTTGCATTGAAAAGAGAACAGAAGACCATGCAAGCAAAATGTGGTTTGCTCACATTTAGTATATGCCTACATATGTACATATGTACATACATATAGCAGCAATTAATTTCATTTAAAGAAATGGCGAGTCATTTATTTATTACTTCTTCTGATTTATTTTTAACTTCTTCTGGCGAGGCGACATCTATCTGTAGAGTTTTTCTAATTGTATGTCTTTGATATGATTTTTTTTGCTTTAATCTAAACCTAAGTGGGAGCTTCTACCACCCTTTGTTTCTTTACTAGAGCTTCTCAAATATTGAAAAAAAACGCGGTTTTTTAACACTTTGACCTCGTTTTTCTTAAAATCTGGAGCTGATGGAAACCTTATGCTTACGTCAAAAATAGCGTTAACATTTGCTGCATTAAATTTATTTCTATTTTTGTGTGCCTGTGTAATAAGTATTGTTAAATAGCCAATACCCGCATGTTTGCGGCGCCTTCAAACACCTTTCTAACTGTAAAACAATGACTCATTTCTATTCTACTCATATCTATAATACTGGCATCGAATTTCAAGCAAATTGGACCATAAATAAGATTTTTTGGAATAGATCGGTCCCTGGTCCACCTTTCAGAAAAAATATCCCAGACAATAAGCTACCTACGTGCCGAATTTCAAGCAATAATAAGCATAAATAAGATTTTTTCCAATATATCGGTATCAATTGTTCCCAATTAATTCAGGTTCACAATGAATTTCATAATTATCCGAAATTTTCCAAGCTTCACAACGAATTTTCCACCTTTACATCGTCCAAAATCATCAAATCATGCGATAAAACGCAATATTTCGTCGAAAAAATTCAAATTTTTCGTGTTCTCCTGGATTTATCCTAGTTTTCTACTTAGAATTTTCTATTTTTCCATTCGAAAGCTATTCCGAAGGAATTGCACAAAAAATTCCATACAAAAAACAATTTTCGATTTTTCCAATTTCCAGACTTTCCCGGAAGGTTTTCCCAAAAATTTTTTTCGTAAAGACCTTCTGGTAATTACGAACAACTAAAAAAAAAATTTGCCAAATGGGCCCAACCGTTCTTAATTGATGAATTACTATACACTTTTCACACCATTTTTATATATGTATATAGATTTCTTTTTCTTAAAAGAAATGCGCAAGATAAGAAAGAGCACAAAAAAAATATATGATTTATAATAAAAAAAAAAAATCTTTGAAAATATCACTAAATATTAAAATGTGATTTTATGTGTTAAAAGAAAAAAGCTCTGCAGGCGAACATTTGGAAGAAAATATCGCGCTATTTTTTATTAAAAATTTTCATGTTATATTAAGATATCAATACAGTTGTTTCATTTCGCTGTTGACAGTTGTCCTTAACTATATAAAATTATATATCAAATGAAAGAAATTTGTATGCTCTTTCTAGTAAATATATCGTTTAATATATGTAGTTAATTACGTATTTTTTTAATAAAAACATAGTTTTCGTATTTATAGTATTTCATTTACATTACAGTTTATTGTCGATTTAATTTGGACTACAAATATACCCCATTAAAACCAGGGTTCGGATTTGCCTCATTTTAGGCCTTCGCTCGCTCAATAGTTTGCTCTGAACTTGGGCAACTCACGAGCAACAAGCGAGGCTGTTTTGCAATTGTTGTTGTCAGCTGTGAACAGCGGTTCAATTTACACAGACGAACGAGAGCACAAAGCGTGTTGCCCGAGCACGAGCAACTCGGTCCCCCTCTCCTTTCCTCGTCGCGCTCTCTCCTACAAACGTCGAGTTGCGGCAACAAAAATCGCTGTGTGTAAATGAGCACTCGTTAAGTACGAGAAGTGATGAAAAATGGAAATTTCAGATTGTACCTAATATCACAAAATAAGTGTACCTAAATGAGACAGATTGTACCTAAAAAAGTTACATCATTCATTTGTAGTTTGTTTTTATAAATTTTATTTAAAACATGAATACAAAAGATATATGTACTTTAAACATGATTAGGGTTTTCAAATGAGCCTATATCTATAGACTATAGTCTAATGGCAATCGAAGAAGCATTGTTTTTGTCTAATTTTGACTACTGAAAAATATTGGCGAAAAAGCAGAGATCGAAAATAACCGTCACCAAGTGTCCCGTATGGTGTTTACCACTGACACAAACACTCGTCTCTCAAGCAAAGAGTGTTTCTCACCGTGGCAAATCACTCTGTGCGATCTTTTTGTGTTTTCCGTTGTGGGTTATTTATCAACTGCTAAAATTTCCCTTGGGCAAGAACACTTTGGCAGGGACTTTTATTTTTAAGTTTCTTAGTTTGTGGGTTATTGTAGGACTGAAAAATATAAGTGGGCGTAATAAGTGGAAGCAAAGCGCTAGGCATTTCTTTACACGACATATACGTACACATACATGTGCGAACATTTATGACAAGGAAGAGAGCGTGCACATTCATAAATTCGAGAATCCCGAAATACCCCAAAAATCCCGAAGTAGTCCCGAAGATTCCGAAAATCCTGAAGAAGTCTCGAAAATTCCGAATTAGTGCCGCGGATCCCGAAAATCTCAAAGTAGTCTCGAAAATCCTGAATTAGGCCCGAGAATCCCGAAATAGCCCAAAAATCCCGAAGTAGTCCCGAAGATTCCGAAAATCCTGAAGAAGTCTCGAAAATTCCGAATTAGTGCCGCGGATCCGGAAAATCTCAAAGTAGTCTCGAAAATCCTGAATTAGGCCCGAGAATCCCGAAATAGCCCAAAAATCCCGAAGTAGCCCCGAAGATTCCGAAAATCCTGAAGAAGTCTCGAAAATCCCAAAATAGTCCAAAAATCCCGAAATAGACTAAAAATCTTGAAGTAGTCCCGAAGATTCCGAAAATCCCGAAGAAGTTTCGGAAATCTCGAATTAGTCCCAAGGATCCCGAAGATTTTCGTGGAACTGGAAGTTGGAAGATACTTAAATATCTTATTTGAGTCGCATAACAAAAGTATTATTTAATTGAAAAATTACAAATCAAATTGATTTGCTCTACAAATCAAATCAAAAATTTGTATTTCTTATTTGGTTGAAAAATCAAATCACAAATAAATTTTATTTTTTATTTGGTCAACAAACTAAATCATAATAATAATTTTTTAATTTATAGCGGATTTTAAATCAATAACATGACCGTGACGTTGACGTTGCTTATATCTCTCTATCTCTCTATCAACAGCAAATTTGATATGTTTCTACGCACTTCTAACACTTATTTTTCTTCTTCCAGCGATAAGTGTCCGTGTCCAACAGCAACGGAAATTAGATGCAAAATAACCCTTTCCCACTGAGAGGAGCACACAAAAAATAAACCACCTGTTCTGTTTTGTGCGTTATTTTTTCCCTTAAATAGTGACGGTTATTTTGGGACACTTTCAAAGTGTTGACGGTTATTTTCGACCTCTGCGAAAGAGACAAAAAACACACTTGTGAAGTAAGAAAGAAGTATATCTTTATCCAGCTTTTTATAAAACAACAATTATTATTATATATATCCGATTATAATTTATCCGATTCCTTTTAATAGGTGCAGCGAATCTAGAGAATGTAATCAATGTGCCGTAAGTAACTTCGAAAGCATTTTAAATATATTTCCAGAAATCAAAAAGCGAGTATGGGTCAAATAGCTGTAGTTCTCATCTAAAAATATGAAATTTGAAGACATCCTAGACACTGGACTGTATGGATGAACAAAGGCTGGTTTTCGCAATGTAATATTTTGACAACAAAATTGTTTGACTTATTTCGACACAACTTTCTTTCCTTTATCCCTACCTTTATCGATGATACTATGTGCCAAAAACTTATAAGTAGCCGCCTTAGCAGCGCATGTACACGCCTGAAGGCCTATTCTGATCTAAATCAAACCAAAGACCATTTTTTAGTCCCATTTGACAATTAAGGCCTCTTCTGATCTAAATCAAACCAAAGACCATTTTTTAGTCCCATTTGACAATTAAGGCCTCTTCTGATCTAAATCAAACCAAAGACCATTTTTTAGTCCCATTTGACAATTAAGGCCTCTTCTGATCTAAATCAAACCAAAGACCATTTTTTAGTCCCATTTGACAATTAAGGCCTCTTCTGATCTAAATCAAACCAAGGCCAGTTTTTAGTCCCATTTCACACATTTGACCGCAAATGCCACTGAATTTGACTTAGTGAAAATAAGCATTAAAATTAATAGAAAAAAATTACGAAGCTAAGTAAAGTGGTAATTTTTCGTAGTGCCTGCTCTAAATGCAATGTAAAATGTTTAAGATAATACATAATATGGTTTTTTATGTCTTCCTTTTGACCACTTTTCTCTAGAATTGTTTATTCTTCAAAATGAAAGCGAAACTTCTCCCGTACCTACAAGTAAATATATTAGCACGGTAAAGGAAAAAAAACTAATAATGCATCTGATCAAAAGATGATTGTACCTAAAATCTAGTGACTGTACCTAATGTACCTTTAAGTCATCAAACGTCGGAAAAAGGTACAATTGTACCTACTTTTTCATCCCTGAGTACGAGCGCACGCGCTGAGCAGCCAGCCAGTGTTGCCAGGTCTTCGGCATGAGAAAACGTCCCTCTAGGTCTGTGTCATTTCCTACACAAAAACGCCTTTTCCATGTATGCACACAGAATTGTTTTTATTCAACTTTTATTGTATACAAAGGTACATACATATGTACGTAAGGTATATTAAAATGTCATTTCGAGAGAGCACATTTAAAATTCATTAGTGGTATTCACCAAAGTGAGCAAGTGGCCTGGCACTCTGGCAAAAGAGCACATGAGCAGAAGCAGCGACTGTTGACAACAATTTGGTGAATACCACTATTGTAAACTGGTTTGAGATCGTTAATATAAAAATCAATTTATACATACATTGTGATCAGCTGATTAAGCCATCAACATTTTGATCGATTTTGGCAGTTTTTCTTTTGTTTATTTAATGTTTATTATTTTTCCATAAAAGCCTAGCTCATTATAAAACAAACACAATATAAATCCACATTTCAAACTTTGTGCAAAAATTATAAAAAATCTGGAAAGTTTCAGCTAGATTTTCAACGTTTTATTCAGATTTTTTAGAACTTTTCGCGTACGCAGTTTGATAGCGCAATAAATTTCAGGGTAATAATGTGCAAGTTTTAAGTTGTTAAAGAATCGCGTTAACTTTTAATAATTTTTTTTCTTGTTGTAGAAAATGCCAAATTACGTTCTGTCAAGAAGGAACATGGCAATATTTCAGCCGTTTTTGCATTTATTACATTTTCAATGAAGGCTTCAAAAGTCGCCTACTTTTTCTGGCTTTTTATGCTACTACAGCTTTTAATATGCAATTGCAAGCATTGCAATAAGCCTCTTAACCTCCAGTGTTTACACAACCAGCCTTTTAACGCAGGATCCTTAGTCCAAGAATAAAAAAAAAAATGCGCGTTGTAAAGATTTATTAAGAATATAATTCAAAATCAGTTATACTACAAATTTGCCGAAAGTGTGAGCGTAAGTACTTACTCTACAAGCAAATAGTACGCTATATTTGGAAAAACGTCCAAACGTCAACAGGATACAAAAAACGTCCAAGTGACGTTAAAAACGTCAACCTGGCAACGCTGCAGCCAGCGAGCGAGTATACAAACGAGGGCAGCGCAAGAGTAGAGCAGCGTCGTTGCGATCGAGGTACTCATTTGCAGCAGCAGACGAGCGAGGCGAGTAAACGAGCGAGGCAAATGAGGCGAGTAAACGAGCGAGGCAAGCAAACGGATTGTTTGGTCAGCAAAAATGTATAGGATAAAAATTGCATCAACTAAGAACCCTGCAGTACGGGGGAGTGACTACAGGACTACTGAATCGGTAGCTACCTGATAAACACCGTCAATTACCGACCGACTACTTGCAGTGTATTTCATCGATTACTTTTACAAGGCAATGTCCTAGGCGGTAGTCACCATCGGGTCTCTCTGCACTACCGAGAGTTACTAAAGTAGTCACTTGCGTGATTTATGGGCGCCCTCTGTCGTAGTTTTTCGCTATTCTGCTTACGACTGGTTCGACTCTGCACTACCACGTGCACTACCACGGGTTTATAGAGTAGCTACTTACCTAGGAGTCGGTACAGTAGCGGTTCAAAAGTAGCGATTGACTCCAGCAGTACTGCAGGGAATTTCGAGTGCACGCACACATGCAGATATGTATATACATTAGGGTGGGTCAATTAAAAAAGTTGATTCATATCCTTGCGATTCTGGTACTATGGACCATAACAAACATTTTCGCCCAAGGAACCATACCTCTAAAATCATTTTCGAGCCTGCCAAAATTTTTTGGTAGATATTTTCAAAAATACCAAATAAACGACCTCTTAGATGCATTTCAAAGACAAAAAAATATTATTGAAAATGTGTATACGGGGGTTTTTTGGGTCAGAGAATC